AATATTACTGGAGTTTTATCTCAACACGAAACCGTTATTTTTAACACCTCGACACGTGTTTCGATCACCATGTGATCATCTTCAAGAGGAAGATGTTTTATTGACGACGAAAACCAAGGTAAATATATCTCAGTTCCATACCACCAATACACGAAGAACTTTGTAAAGATTTTCAAGGAACTAGGTATGAAGGTTATATTCAAAACAACTCATACATTACAGAGGCTTTTAAGAACTTCAGTAATATTCTATGAACATTTTGTTACTCTTTCCGTAAGCACGTTCTCCCGAAAACAGGATTAGTCGAAACTGGTACATTTGTAATACGAAGTTCCGTCTTTTATTATTTTATTATGTTGAACGAGGTGGAGTTTTCGCTATTTCTTTCACTTGACATAATTGTGACGTGCTCTGTATGTTTCGTACTAATGACATACATTGTCGAACGTATTTCTACTCAAATAGGACTGAGGAGTGTGTAAGCTTTTTGAATTGCATGTTTCCGAGGAAACTTTTGATCGAACCAACAACAGATTCATTCAAAGTTCTTCTTATACATCAATTTGAAGATGTTTGCTTTTCATCTGTCATGAAAAGGAGCCCACTTCCATATTGATGGAATGTCTCTTTAGTAGTCAAGAGTTGTCTCTGGTAAAGTAAAGCATGTATGAAAGGTTATTATATTTTTTGTGCAAGACAGACTGAAGTATAATTTTTTCTTTTCATCGTGAAAAGATTGGTGTAAGATTGAGAAAATGTTTGTTTGACATATACGTGGCTGTTGAAAAAATATGGTGTATATTAAAATTTCACGGGCTACGTACATTTTTTTTTGTGTTGGTACACTTGTCTCGAACATACAGTGTATTTCTTAAATGTCCCCCTCCTTTTATTTTTCAAATGGGTCAACTCAAAAAATTTGCGATAATGAAATTAATGCATGAATACTTTATTTTGAAGCAAAATTGACAAATGAAACTTTCAAGATGGCGACAGGGCGCCACCTGGGGAAAAAACTAAAAGGAAAGGGGGTTTTGTGACACATCATTTTGAAGAATACTTCACAACCCTACAATATGAAGTCAAAATCTTCACCTACTACAAAATGGCGGAACATTCAATAATTTCCTAAAGACAAACACATTAATATCAATATTTCTGGAAATATTTCCTTTTATCTGTCATAAGGCAATTCCAACAACCCGATAAGGTTTGTTAGGTTATTTTTTGTCCACAAAAAATGTCAGTACGACAACGAACATCATTGTTCAGTGAGAATACTCTCATTTATTTTTCGGTTTTACTAATAGAAAGATACTACGCCAACAATCTCTAAAATGGTCATAACTTTCACGAGACCGAAAGGATTTTCGAAGAACGTTTTCCGAATCGTCCTATCTGTAGAAAATATTTGAGGGAACTGGTATCCAAATTCACAACTACCGGTAGTGTACATAACAAAAGGCCCCCAGGTCATCTGTCCATTCCGGAAGAATAGCAAGTGCAAATAATTAGTGAGATGGTTACTATGTACAGCACAAATCACTGTCATATATTCAGTCGAAACGGCAACACCGCAGGAATTCAGTTGTCAATTATCCATCATGATGGTGTTATAGTTATTTATGTATCAAGGGAATTAGGAGGGCCTTAATTACCGATGGCAAAGTTTGCGTCCCGAGGGCCTCTGGCCCGAGGGACAGCAATTGCCTGAGGTTATTAAGGCTCATTAATTCCCGTGGTACATAGATAATTTTATTTCTGACCGATTTCAATAAAATTTTGTTCATTTTNACTTAAAAAGACACGGAGGTTGGAAAAGTTCCACGGTGGCGGAGGGGTATTTGGAGGATAGCATCGAATTGAGAAATAAAACGGCGCGTATGTTGTCTACTTTGTCATCAGAAGAGGCAGGTACCTCGACTGTAGTGAACAGAAGCTCCAGCCATACAAAAGAAGAAATTGTTTCCAGTGGCGGAAGTAATTTTCAGGGAACATTTCAAAATTGTACATTTATTATTTGTAATGACGTGAATAAATAAAATATGGTTCAGTTTTCATTTCTATTTATTTTTACTTGTGAAAGGTAGAGGGAATTATAAAATCTATAATGTCCCAAGGGAGTTATGACCCTCTTTATTGATAGCGTAACTATGACGATATAAGCTTATAATATCCCGGTCAGAAATAAATTGTATAAAATCATTGTTATTGTTAACCTTTATTGATAAATAAAGTTCATCAAGGAAGTGATTTAGTGAGTTGTCAATGATGCCCTTATTTGAAACAATCAAGATATCACAACGCGAAAGTGTTATTCGATCGTCATCGGTTTGGTGTTGGGAAACAGATAAATAACAATTATACTGTATCAATGTTTAATCAACAACTGAGAGTTGTTTTAAAGATAGTTGAATCAATATCTCAAGCTCATTATGTTATTATTTTTCAAATCTCTTGAGCTATTTGATACATTTCTGAAACGAATGATTCAAAATGTCCTCAGAGTAATAATATGACATAGTTGCCATGCCTATACGGTGCCTGTACCAATACGATACATGTATTTTGAAGCGAGTATCGGACTATCCTTTTCTGTACAACTTATAGCGAGGGGGGATGACGGGTAATGAGAGGTTATGGAGAATTTGTTTACATTTGAAGTAATCAACCCTGCGTCCGACACGTGGGGTGTGACATACCCCAGCCGTAGAAAATTCCATATAACTTTTCGAAATTGGCGCCCCAGCGTCGGATATATTTAGTAGCTTCCGCATGTAGTCTCCACTGTCATATTCACATCTCAAGTCAGTTGTCGTTTGACGTATGTTTGAATTAGACCTGTTATAAATCGACTGGGGTGCTCGAAACCCCACATGTCTCTATACGTTCCAGAATTGTACGCATTCAAAGGAAACCAAGTCGAGTAGTTTTTCAAATTATTCGATAAAAATTGGTGATTATGAGCGAGAAATGGCCCGTCTTCAGCCCATATGGGATGAAATAGGAAGTGATGATGAAATTGACGAATCTGATGGTGATGAATCGAGCGATAATGTTAGCATCGTTAGTAACTATCCAGATTTCTCATAGACCAAATTCTATCAGCTATAGTCTTCCTATCAGCATAAAGGGTGAAAAAAATTTCATGAAATATAAGGCCAAATTGAAATCACACATAGTAGAGTCATGTTTTTACAATGTGTCAGACTATTGCCCTACAATGAAATGAATAATGTAACAAGTTGATTTTACTTATTCATTTGTTTTCACTGTTTCCTGTGTTGTATTTTATGACATCCTATATCATGTGAATGATCTTTTGAGGATAGATAAATTTATCATTATTATTATATCTGCCCAACATGACCAAGCTCCCGAAACTGCTCCTCTATTTTGCTTATTGTTCCTTGAGATATGGGCGTTAAATTAGTAAATTTCTCATGAAATAGGCGAACTACTTCCTGTTGTGTTCGTGTTTTATCTCCGTAACCAATCATCTGTAAAACTCTTATTTTATGCATTTTCGTTAATCTAACCATTTGTCAGACTTGAAGTTAGCGAACTTTAAACTTGAATTAAAATACTAACACCTAATGTTGTAATATACAAAACAACACGAAAATTATTCACAGTTTTTTAAAGGATGCCATTTGAAAAGAACATTGCTATGGTTTTTGCCCACTTTCTTATTATCAATACCTCAACATAAAATAAGTTTTGAGTATATTTCAATAAGTTTTGAGTGTATATTTTATCGAATTTTGGTTTGGTTGATTTTAATTTATTTTATCTTGATTGTTGCAATACAGTTGATAGCGATAATATTTTTGAATAGAAACGATATATTACAAGTTTTTACTTCCTATTTGAAAAATTGGGGGTTGTACCTGTCATTAGACGGGGGTTGAAGGTAGGGGTAGCATTTTTCCGTTAAAGTTTTGAGTTTTTTTTCAAATGTACAGTAACCGAAATGAATTGGCATATTCCTCGATCTGAGCAAGGCGTTCGACTGCGTCTCTACTGACATTTTATTAGAAAAACTGAGATACTATGGATTTGTAGGCATAGCACAATCTGCTAGCATCATATCTAAATGAGAGAAAGCAATGTGTATCATATAATGAAGAACTCAGTAGCTTACAAGCGATATTGAATGATGTTCCACAAAGTAGTGTGCTTGGGCCACTACTTTACAATGCTATTCACCGATGACACTTCTTTTGCCATTCGCAAAAGAAATATTGAAGAGTCATCAGAATTAGAAAAGCGAGTTATTCAAGAAGCTACGGACTGGTTTAATGCGAATAGACCTTCTGTGAATGTCCCATAATCTCTCAAATAATGTGAAATGTCTTGGTATAACCATTGATTCAAAATTAACTTGGAAACCCCATATTGACAAACTAGCTAAAAACCTATCATGCAAGGTCTATGCAATCAGGCAGATAAAAAATAAAGTCGGTAATGAAGCTGCCCATACCGCTTATCATGCAATGTTTCGTAGTTCTTTAATTTATGGATTGATAAACTGGAGCACATCTGTTCATATCTCGAAGAATATTTAAAATTCAAAAAAGAGCAATCAGACCTTTAGCTGGAATAGGTCAAATGGAGAGCTGTAAGAATTGGTTTGTTAAGTTCAATATATTAACTCTGCCATCATGTGTAATATACTTTTATTGAACAAAAATTATGTATATACTTTAATTTTAAAGGAGTATTTAACTAATTCATGTTCGTATATAATAAAAATGCCTTTTACGGCGGAAGTTGGAAATTTGTTGGTGCGTCGAAATAACGCTCCACAAAGTACTAGTTCGTCCAGCTCAGTTGAAGAATGGAATACAATTTTACAAAAATATAATCGTGAAAAACGAAAACTTAGACCACGTATTATTGATTATGATAATGTAGTTACTCGTTATTCAGATGAAGAATTCAAAAGTCATTTCAGGTAAATTATTTTTTATCACTTAATACACTATAGATTTTGAAAATTTTACTCATGGAATTCTTTATTGATCTCTTTAGACTTTCAAGATGTACATTAAATTATTTACATGAGCTGATACTGTAACTGACATCGTCACACATTTAACGTAAACATCAAGATTATTGTAAAATTTATTATTTTTCCAGTATACCTTCACTATCGTGAGTTTCAGAGTTGAGATCACCTGTATCCTCAGTATCAAGACATTCTTCATTGCTAGAATTATTGTTAAAAGCATCATTAGATAAAGAAAGGTCGTTATCAACATTAGTCGATGTCGATGGTCCTGATTGTTGATTGGAGGCTTTTGTTACTAATTTTGTAGCAAAAACTGTATCTGAAATCAAAATAAGTTTCTTTTGACAAATATATTTTTATTGATAATTAAAGTTGTTGATTCATCAATTTAGGTTATGTTATTGACAAATGATGAAAATATATAAATTGCGATAAATTATAAACTGCAATTATGCTTAATGAGAATCATTTAACAATAATATTTACCTGTTAACGCACGTTCATCATCTGCAGGAGAAAGTTCGAGATCCACAACAGTATCTCGTTCGGCACAATAGAACGATATTGTTGTTGTCGCCATGTTTGCTGCTTTTAGTTTCAAAAATTGCGCTCAGTTTCTCAAAACGCCCACATCGACCCACCTCTTGAGATGGATCGTCGTGAGCTAGGCGTGAGCATAAGTAATGACGTCATTAATGACGTTTTCGCCACGACCACAACGATCGCGGTCGCCATGTGGAACGCCTGAAAGAGTATTTTAGGCGTTGTGAACGCTTAGTGGAACGCACGGCTGATGTTTTAAAAATGTAGAAATGGAATTGGCCGCGGTGGTAGTACGTCCGACTCACGATCGGAAGGTCGTTCGTTCGATTCTCGCTTCGACCAGATATTTTTCTCGAGAGAATTTATCTGGTTGAAGCTGGAATGATTCTGCAACCGTGTTAGGAATCACACGTTAAAAGGTAAGACTCATCATCAAGCGAAAAATGGCCAACTCCCGCCAAAACGGTCATCTCCTACGGAACCAGTGAAGTGGAAAATGGAAAGCGGGGATAAGTGAAAGTACTCGAACGACCTATAAATAGTCATCTCTTGGAGGAATCAGTCCAGTCATCACCCGAAGACGATTGTAGATACTAACAATCGAAACGTCGTGAACTAACGTGACTTGGAATCTTTCAACTTTTTATTTTCTTTTTTCATTTCTTTATTTTTATTTATTTTCGTTCAATTGTTCTATTTTACTTGTATTTTATTTCACTATTATTTCATTTAAAGTTTATTTTGCTTAATATAATTGTTATTTTCATCTATTCACTTTTAATTCTTCTTTTTTAGTTGTTTCAGGGATTTCAAATCAGTTTAGACAATGGAAGTCCGAACTAGTGAAATTCAAAGAATGAAGCAATTAAGTTCCAAATAAACTTTCAACAATGATGGTAATTGCTTTCTTTCAGGAAACCAAAAAAAATCCCATCAACAATATTACTTTGTAATATGACAGAATCAACAAGTGGTAGCACAACTCATTGCATTGTCAAGTGAAAGTGAATAAAGTTTTTTAACGAATTGTAATTCGACCACTCATTCCGACTCCCATTCCGATAGCTAAATATTGACGTATAAGGTTGATAATTTGTTATTTCCCAAATATGAATCAGATTTCTATGTTCATGATGCATCCAGCATTAAGGCACAGAATTGTAGAATTCTGTGATTAAGGTAGAAATGAACACGAGTTTCTCACGACAGTTGGAACTTGGCTCCCAAGGTTGGAAGATTTAAAAGTATTGAGTTTTCTTTCTATAATGAGAAATATCAAAAAATTAGTGTCGCCGTTCATAGCTTCCATATAATCACGATGATGATCGAGAGAAATTTTTGACACAAAAATCAAATGTAAATGAACAGTGTACACAGCTGTCACGAGTTTCTACTTCCAAACACAGGAGCCAAATTGCAACTGACGCAGGAAATTCTCCGATTAGTAGAATTCTGTAGTGGTTCTGTGTCATAGTCACGATTAGTTGTCCACCCAAACGGATGCTGATTTGACATATACTGAAATGTGTAATGGGATTGGACGATACTTCATTAAAATTTATTTTAAGGTGTATATTTTACTTACACTCTAATGTGAGATTTTCAACTATAAACAGTTCACGAAACGGCAAATGTTTCTTCTGGCGTGTTCAATATATTGTATTAAACAGTTGAAGTTGAGGTTATGTAAACAGTGTAACAAAATTATTGCAGTGAAATGGTACTCAAATACAAACTTCTGAAATGAAGTTGGAAATGAATGTTACCCTCAAATGTTTTTCCGACAAACAAATGTCCTAATAGAATATTGTATTTGCTAATCGTTTGGATGTATCAATAATTAATCAAAATCATAACGTATTAAATGAAAAAGTTTCATTGTGTGGGTGTGGATCCGTGTTCATGAACCACACATCACACATGTATGTTTCACAAAGAAGAGAAAATGTCGGATATTTCATATTTGTTGAGAATAATATTGGCCAGCTTTCAGATTTCATTGGTGATTATTATGTTTTCCGTCATGACTGTCGATGTCATCGATCAAAACAAACAGGATACTTATAATGGCGGAAGGTCATCTTCGTTTCATTCGGGATTGGAACCCAGCTCCCTTACCCTTTTAGCTGATTGTTGGTCTCGAGAAGGACCAATGGGTTCATGACTGATGGGATGGCGGTATGAAGTCCTCAAATATCAGCACCGCCCTTCACGGGATACCCCTACCTGGCTGGGGTAGGATACTTATAATGAATTTAAGTAATTCCATTTATAACAGCTTCCAATCAAAATATGTAACACGACCACCAATTAACGCTTGAATATTGTTCTGAACTGAATTACGAAAATTCCATATGACGCCATTTGCTGGAGAAGAACTAATTTAAAATGATGGACACAAATTCAGTGGTGCCAAGAATGACATTGATTTTGTTTTTGGGTCCATAGGACACATATTAGTTCACCTTTGGTTGTTTAATAATGCAAATTATTCATCGCTGAATGAACCGCTAATCTGCTAATCATCGCTGGTGAAACAACTAATCAGGGTTACCACTCGATATTTCATTTTGGTTCTGAAATTTGGAGAATTTAGAGATAAATTCAACTATTTATTGAAACAAATCAAAAAAATATTCTTCAAAACACTTTTTGTAGATGAATTAATTCTTCTTGACTGTTTAACAGTATATAACCTTCCGCAATTTGGAAAATAAACAAAACTAAATCAATAGAGACTCTGATGTTGAAGTGTAATGAAGGCAAACTGAAGAGTTTTTCCGAAAAATTTCTGCGAAATATAACCACTGAAGAGTTCAGTTAGTCAAAAGTAGTTTGATATAAGCTGTCAAAATATAATTGAAAACTGTTGAGAACACTAGCAAGATAATTGGAATGCACCAATTATGAAAACTCAATAGATTGTGATTTGGCATGAGGATATCCAATAGTAATTGAAGTGACAACCTTTCAACTAACATTCAAATGCTCGGATGAGTTTTTAAATTTGAAAAAAAAACTCGCCTTTTGTGACTGAAGATTCTTATAGTAAAAATTAATGTTTTTTTTGAGTTTGAAGATCGAAAAAAATCTAGATGTCGTCGACTTTGCCATTCTCCCCATTATGAATCTTTCAAATGTGGAAATAAAAGCGACTACAAAAATAAACGAATATTTAAAAACTACTTAACAACGTTTTTTATGTTATAATCTACTCCATACTCACTGTCGATTTTCTGTCAAATTTTTTGAACATAATTATTTCAACTCATCTTCATATTTTTCATATTTTATAATGAGAGTTTTAATTGAATTTGTTTTACAGCTTTTTAGGAGATTAGGAATCACGGACCCTTTCTATTGGCAACATTGAAAAATTATACAATAGTACATTTTTTTGGTCGTCAAATAAGTACAGAACGAATCCCGTGATGACAACTCTGAATTTGACATTCTTGTCGGCAATCGTCCAGTGTCCAGTAAAATTACTGAAATTACATGTGGTTTGTGGTGTGGTAAGATCCTGATGCCGGCTGATTTCTAGAAAGTGGTAACAAAAAACCTAAAGCTTCTAAATTGCCAAATAAGAAGAAATAATTATTCCACGATGCATCAAGAAACTCTTCAACTCATTCAGATTCTGGAAAAAACAGTTTCTCCCGGTAGGACATTATGCCTATTATCACATCCATCGCTTTGTTGTCTTTATTCAATTTTCATGATGTGGATCACATATATCGAGATAACAGTTATTATAAACATTAATTTTATGTTCTAGATAAAACTGAGCTAGAACAAGCTTCATCTTTTCTGGAACAAGCCGCGGCTACCAACTTGTTAGAGTTCATAAAAACTTTATCTGATATCTTGAGACATGGAGGTAATAGCCCTGTGGCTCGCATGGCAGCTGGTTTGCAACTCAAAAATCAATTAACTTCCAAGGATCCATCTGTTAAAACAACCTATCAGCATCGCTGGTTAGCCTTTCCTGAAGAAATCAGGAATTATATTAAAAAAAATGTGAGTAGTACCAAAGTTCAAAATTTTTGCCCCAATGATATAAGTTATTTCACTTGGTTTCTAGGGGGTTTATGCAACCAAACCTAATAATTGGTAACTAAGACTATACCTAAGGAAAGTATCCGGTTTATGCACTTGTTAACATAACCACAATGATTCTTCATTGGATATTTTAGTATACTATGAAAAAATAATTCCATATAAACACAAAAAATGTTCAATACTCTTTAAATAATTTTTATTGTTGGCCAACTTTCTAGGCTTAATCTTATTAGTCTTCGTCAAGTTTCCATTAACGTTCGCTTTGATTTGTTATGGCCGAACTCTTAATTTAGTCTCGGTGTGTTGCATAAACCCACTTTTGCCTTTTTCATAACTGACGTTAGTATTTACTGTATTTTGCAATGAAGATAGATTTTTTTATGGTTCACTTATGTTGAAACATTTATGAATTACCACCACTAATAATCTGTAATGGTTGATGCTGTTTCTTATAAAAAAAAGGACATTGAAATCCTCATCTTTTAAATGTCTCTTCCACTCTTATATACTACTAAAAATCTTGTGTACCACTACAAATAATAATCATCTGTAGAGGTACTTCTGTATCAATCATTTGAGAAATTTTGTGAATGATTGGCATTTTCAATTTCTACTGCATATCGTCGACTCCTGCTAGAAATCACAAACTAAAAGGTAAGACCTCAATCTGTAGGTTACCCATGCTTTTACTTTTGAGGGTTGTTTTCAAGGGGAAGGTAGGTTATCTGAAAAACACATGCAATGCTCTGTTTCCTAATAGTAAAAAGTAACTGATGGATTCCTGTCAGCGTGATGTTATACTCAGGTAAAAATTCCACTATGTCAGCAGTGAATAAAGAAAATAGTATTGGGGCCAAAACGCTACCCTGTTGCACTCCCAGCTCCAGTTGCGAGGTATTTCAGCACTGCTTACTAATAGATCCGTCAACTTTTTTGAAACAAATTTGGACAAAGTGACTTCTATCGGAAATATATGATTCGAACCATTTGGCTGCAATTCCTCGTATGCCGCAACGCCAAAGTTTTTGTAGCAGTGCCTTATGAAGAATACAGCCAAAAGCCTTACTCAAGTCGCAAAAAATTCCAACAGGGAAGTTTCTTTTGTTGATCTCGGACAATACATCATTATAAAAGTCAACTGTTGCAGTTGTTGTGGATTTTTCCTTTCAAAAACCATGCTGCTGGTCTGGTATGAATCTGTATTTATTGATGATGGGAGTTAGTTTGTCTAGCATAAAGAAAGAAAGAAATTTTATTGACCTCAAATTACAATTTTAGTTACATTTGGAAATATCTGCAATAACAAAATTTGCTTAGGTACGTCGTACTGAAAATATAAAAAAATGTACATACATTACATAAGGAAAAATCTCACAGTACAATAGTTATGACTCATAATATAAATACACATGTATACACACATACTCACATATACATATATTAGGACCACTGACAATTGAATACCTCATCAATCTTGTAGAAAGCTTGGGTGACAAGTGATTTTTTTACTTTGAACTTCAATTCTTTTATATGA